TTATTTATTTATTTATTTATTTATTTATTTATTTATTTATTTATTTATTGGATTTCTCTCCCGCCCATCACCCCTACAATAAGCACAGATGGGGTTTCACTTAGCGACCATTTCCCTTAACAACAGAGTTGCTGGTCCCAATTGTGGTCACTAAACAAGGACTACCTCTCCTGGCATCCTGTACTGTACTTATCAGATTTACCAACCAAACTTCAACTCTACATTCATCCCAAACATTCTATAAATCAGACATTTTCTCTAAATCACCAATGCACAATTAACTTTCTTTCTCGCATCCATACATTTCTAAATGACCTGCTGAGAAGCTAAAAAACATGTTGTGCACCATCCCTGCCTGGCACTAATCTGCACTACACTTAACAAACGTTGCTCACTGTTACTTCTCATACTGTTTCAATCACAATTCTGCCAAGCCTGGGCACGTTTAACGTGCTAATCCACCTGTAGGCTTTGCGTTCACTCTTGCTAAGGGAGCAGTAATGACACTCCTTCAGTCACCACGCACAGAAGCCATCCTCCCACACTTATTGAGCAACTCACCCAGCCATAAGTAAGTCACTTTCTTATTCTAACATTGCTCCAATTACATCATTTTTCAACCTTCTCACTGCCCTGATGATTTTCTTTTCATCATTTTTTTTCTTGGACGCTAACCTTTATAGCATTTGTTCCAATTCCGTCCTATCGCTATCATTCCCATAAAAGTCTCCGTTACATTCTTCCCAGCATTCCTTAGCCACAGCTAAAAAGCATTATGTAAGGGATTATGCAAAATTAAGGAATGGATTATGGGACCGCAGAAGGTCTAAACGGACACACAGCTGTTCAGTCTGTTATTATGTTCTATGTCGGTTATTCATTTATTAAGCAGTTTTACACTTTCTTATTTTTTTCCCTTCTTAATTTACAATAAAATACATTGTACATCATTATGCAAATAGGAGTATTGTTCCTACTCTTTATTTTTTGGGAGAAAAACTATCTTGGGAAATCACACAACAGATACACACATCCCACAACAGATATCTAGCAGCACCTAGGCTACCTTGGCTGATCTCTGAAGATCACACATGTTTAATACCTGGGTGGGGGACCACCAAGAAATCTGAGGGCTTGCGCCTAGACTGAGAAGATGGAAGAACATCTTGGAAGAAGCCAGTGGCAAAACATTCCTCTACAGATGTTAAAAAACCACAGCCCCCACTCGGACATGCCTGTGAAGCCATCAGGAGCTGAACTTGGAGAGTTAAGATAAACTAGAGGATAAAAGGGGTCCTCCAGAAGTTTATGTCACCCATTTTCACTCTTAAAAACTCCAGGTTAAACATTTCTTCTTTTAATCAAGAATTGACTGAAATGAATCTCATGTCATAACACCCTCTATTAGCAAGGAAAAATCCTGCAGCTTATGGGGTAGATGGGTGGAATTCGTTTAAAAAAATGGGAATGCATTTTACTATTGCTGCTGCTACTACTACTACTACTAAAAACGACTGTGGCAAAAGAAAGCAAGAATAGTCCCAATAGTAATAGGCGCCTTGGGTGCAATCCCAAAACATCTGGAGCACCCCTTGAAGACCATCGGCATCGACAAAATCACCATCAGTCAACTGCAAAAGGCAGATTTACTTGGAACACCTTATATCCTGCAGATACCTTTAACACCATCAAACAACAACATCTGCTTATCCAGGTCCTTGGGAAGGACTCGATAGCTGGATAAAAATGCCACATCCAGTCTAAACATCTGGCTGACTGTGCAACCAGTAATAATAAATAACGTGACCCAATTCAATTTAGCCCCTGGCTCTGCCCATTTTATGAAGTGTTGCTCATGATGGTGTGAAAAGCCCAGGGTGGCTCTTGGGTCGATGGAAGGCATGTAAGGAAAAAGTGTTGCAGGAGTCAGACATAAATTACTCTCTCATGTGCTACGATCGAAACAGTCTGTAGTAATGGACGAGGGTTGGTAAACGTACCTTCCAACATGGATCCTCATTGGCTGGCGTTATGAAAGGAAGGGCAAACACAGGTTAGTAGAAGTGAGGTTAGGATCCCAGCTTAATGGGGTGACAGCTAAATGATGATCCAAAAGTCATTCATGGTTGCAATCCAGACAAAGATAATTACAATCAGCTTAACTTGCATTTTCTTTGATTTTCATTTATCCATATATATCAGTGTTTTTCAAACTTGACAGTTTTGAGACATGTGGACTTGAACTTGAAGGACTTGAAGTCCACCCATCTTAAAGTCGCCAAGTTTGAAAAACACTGACATATATATAACCTTCCTATATTCCCCATTTTTGTACGATTCCTGTTTTGGAACTGTGGCCACTTTTTTGAAAATGTGCAATTACACTCAATGCCCATCCGTACAAATAATGGGTACAGGTTGATCAGCTAGGACTATGCAAGATCAGAGATAAATGTCCTTTCCAGAAAAGCTTAGGAGAAGAGAAGAGAAATGCGCTAACAGTGGCAAAGCAGAGATATAGATATAGATATAGATATAGATATAGATATAGATATAGATATAAAAACATCTCCCTGAAACCCAAAAAGAAAAACCACCCCATCTTGGAAGCATTTGTCCATGTTAGGCACAAGGTTAGTTCCACTGGAATAACGTTGAGGTGATAGCTGCACCTTCAAAGAATTGAGGATATCAGCAGGACCAACTTGATGGCATATAATCAATTTTAAAAAAACAACTACTAAGGGAGTGGCAGAAAAATTAAGGATACTTCACGTTGTTAAAATGTAGAAATATTATTCTTTTAAATGTTTGATTCCATCCTGATCGACCCCCCAGTGCATACATTTTGATAAAGCATCACTGTTTTCTATTAATGAACTGAGAAAATCCATTCCACTATTATACTGCAACACTTTATGCAATTCTTAAAGCTGTATCTTTAGAACTCAGGTCTTATCTGAGTTAATGAGTACGTGCATTTTATTTGTGATGCAAAGTTTTGATATACTGATAGTCCTTGTTTAGGGACTGCCTCCTATAGCAATCTTCGCAGTTACAACGGTGATGAAAAAGTAACTTTGCAATCATTCCTCACTTTTACAACCTTCATAGGTCTGTAAAGCAAAGGAAGGCTGAAGGAACATCGTAAGCACTGTCATGGGTTCACTTAGTGACTGCTTCACTTAACGACCAGGTTGTCAGTCCCAATTGTGGTCGCTAAACAAGGACTACCTAGGTCGGGGGTTTTTTTCTTTCTAAATTTTAGGGATTGTCTTTTTTGCTCCAGCCAAAAAGTTGCATAATTTCTACTAAAAGCAAAATTACTTTCGAAAATTACAGTTTCTGGTACAACCACAATACAGCTAGGTATTACTAATGGTATAGTGTCTATAATACAAATGTTATAACAAGAAATGATAATACTTATCCAAAGAATGTTATTAGAATAAAACAAGAACTGCCAATTTTTCAAGAAACATTTTAAAGATTACTAATTTTGTTGTAATGCCTAGTATACATAAAATTTATGTATAAATTTTCACATGTTAGGGATGTATAGCAAGCCAGCTGTATTTCCAAGTAATCTTTCAGTAACAAGCACTTCAAAAAATTTTTCCTCTTGTTCCAAATGTGTAGTTTTTGCAAGATTTTGCTCCTTTTGCAATGGAATGGCACATGGGTTGCAAGTACAAGAGATTAGAATTTACAGGAACTATTTCATCCACGACTTTTGAGTGCTGATCTTCCATTCAACAATTTGAAGAGCTTACCTCTTGTGGAGAGGAAAAAGGGATTGTTCAAATAATTTGATGCAAGGCGTTTCCGCTGAAAGAGAAAAAAAATCCTACATATTTATATGAACAGCAGTTCTGGCAACAATTTCTGAAAAATCCTAAACGGAGTTTTCTTCTGAAGGATTTAACCAAGCGCTTACATGCATATTATGTTAACATCTGTGTGTTTGTGAGAAAGCACAGGTGTTTGGGGATTGTTGCATCCTTTAGCTTACCACCTAGCTTGAATCAAAGTGTGAGCAATATTCATATGGTTTGGTTCTGCAGTGACAGTAACTGGCTCAAATTTCTTTGGGGATGACTCATGGCCCCTAAGGAGACTCGTCCTCCTTGAGAGAAGGGGATGCGGTAGGACCTTTAGTTCAGTCAAGAGTTTCAATATCCACCGGATGGAAGTGGGTGAAGAAACAAGATGGCGCACATACAAACGGGGTGGGACTAGCATCAATACCCCATGTCTGCCATCTTGCCCACAGATGCTGATGGTAGAAAGTGGGGCTACAACACCCTTCAACTCAAAAAATACTTTTCACTACCATTTGCTCAACAGAAGAAGAAAAAACTTAATTTTTCCCTTTATTTGAATGTATTAACAACTAATAATACAGTGGAATGCATACAGAAACAGAATACATATAACCCTGTTTCATTAGATTACCTAGGAACTAGGTAACAGACAATCATTAAACATCCGTGGTGCATAATGACTAAGTTTAAACCCGGTGAAGTGGAAGAAAAACATCTTCTGTGCTATTGCGATATAGCAGTCAGGTTTTGGTCAATTTTTCCATTGAAGTGATTTTCCAGCATATTTGCAACCATAGAGAAATATTCAAATCCTTTTCTCTTTTCCAGGATTTTCCTACTTTCTATTTGGCTGCAACCCATAAGACAGCCATCAAGTCGTTGTGCCTGAAGGTGTTGCCTGAATAATAATAAAAAAAAACTTAGTAAGGCAACGTAAGTTCTAATATAATGGCCTGAGATATCATTTGACCTATTTTAATAAAAATTTCATTCTAACAAGACTGAACAACTTTAGAAGACCACCAGAAATGTACCTATTCCTTTACATTTTAAAAATTTCCTTGGTGTTAAATACCATCCATGAAATACTTTCGTTGAATTTTCCCTAATTTGGGCTGAAATCGATTTCTGTGGTTTTCTATGCCAGTCAAATGGCCATTAAGTCAAAAGTAAAGAGCTTTTATTTCTCATTCCTGTATTGTTTTTAACCCAATAAAAAACTTTGCTTCTCTTCTAATAAAATGTACATTTTAAAAAAAATCCCTTTCTTCCCATCAGTTGACAAATTTAGTTTAATTTTAAATTTAGACATGGCCCTAGTTGCTTGTATTCTACTTACAGGAACTGCAGTGAAATCTGATGAATTTGAAACCACGAATTTCCTAAAATTGTCTATAATTGGTTTCCCATTTTAGGAATGTCCCCATTGTATAAATCGTTTAAATAATACAGTCCTTCCATTTCCTAGTGCTGGGTACTATTTAATTTTTTCTTCATAATAAAAGGCATGATGAAATAAAAGGGCTAAAGGATGATGGGTGTGGAGTTAATGTAGAGGCCCATATTTTCTAAATGTTGAAATTCAAAAGAAACAGATTTTGAATATGTTTCAGCTCCTTATGAATATTTTTGGAAAAAGGAAGTGCCGTAATTTTTGCATATTTCTATATTCCATATTTAACCACGGTGTCAATTCTTTTGACTTTATCAAAATATTATTAATCATAGCAAGATCTAACATTCTGAATTTCAAAGCCTCCTTCAATGGTGTTTTTATAGAGAATCTTTGAATTTATTCCTGCTTTTTTTGCTAATATGTACACATTTACTCATCATTTTCTGGAATTTCTTGACATGTTTTTTTAGATTTATTTATTCAGTGTTTGTTTGGAAGAGATATAAGAAGCAAAGAGGTGGAGACATTTTTACTGCTTTCATTTTCCTGAGTAATTAACGCTTTATAATTTGTCCATTTTGTTCAGGGAACAGCAGGTATGTCTGAATGGGTGTCGGATCACTGATATTAACAGTCCAGTCCAGTAACTTCTTGCAATTACAGAGCAAGGACAGGGAAAAAAGCAATTCCAATTTAAGCAACTAGCTATTAAGGATTGCCTACGAGATCAATTGTAAGTTAAATGGCCACGAAATGCCTGAACTGTCAGTAACTTTCTTAAATTGCTGATAAAGAAATAAATCAATGGTGCTAACTGATGAACTGGTAAGCAGCTGATTCTAGTTTATTTAAAGCCACTTCTTGCAGCCAACAGCATTTCCTCATGAAGACAGAGTTCATTTTGCAGATATCGCTCCTGGGGGGCGGCGGGGGGCACTGATGTCCCTGTTCTTTCCTGCTGCCTTAAATTAGCCGAAGAAGCCCAGCGAACAGCAGCAACTTCATTCTTCTGTTTGTTAAACGCTCACAAAATAGTTACAACCTAAACCCTTCTTCTCGGATAGATACTGGGTTTATAAACCAATCATGGGGTGATGCGCAAAGCAAAGGTTCCTATCAAAGAAAATTTAGCAAATAAATCTGACCCTGAAAACTGTCAGCAGTTTCAGACATCATGCATACAGAGGAAGAGAAAGCAAAGGGTAACCATTCAGAATAACTTCCTTCCCACTTCTCATCACTTTTCCTTTTGCGTCAAATTTGCTACTACTAATATAGGTTTCCTGAACTGGGGGTGTTCTAAGTTAGAGTGGAGTAAGCAAATAAGTCTATGTTTCCACATTGACAAACCATCACTTCTTTCTCCAGTGTTGCACCAGAACTGGGAGGTGAACATAAACTGTGCATTTCCAAATCTACTTTTTTTTGGCATCCAAAACCATCCGCCGTTTCACATCCCTAAACAGCAGCTGCCCCAATATTCTCATGAGCACCAGCTGGTGTTAAACTCAGATCACGACTGTGAAAGCTGCACAGTGTAAACCCACAATCAACCCAAACTTGATGCTGCTGTGTCAGCCCGCAATGCTTTTGGTGCAAAAAACCCAAATATAAGCCAGTCTAAATATGACATGGGTTTAACTGCTACAGTTTTTAATTCAAAATCTGTGCAAATATTTTCTGAGTTCTTCCTGTTGAGAATCTCATGTCAGTCAAGCTGAAATCCTTCTTGGGATGAAGGGACAATATATACCTTTTGAGGTGCCTGGAGGCTGTGGGGGTCTGGATGGGGTGCAACAGGTTTCAGCTGAACCCTGGTAAGACGGAGCAGCTGTGGGTTGGGGGCTCCTCCATATCTGGGAGTTAGCATCTTTGGTTCTGGATGGGGTGGCACTCCCCCAGACAGACCTGGTGTGGAATCTGGGGATCCTCCTGGATTCACAACTCCTGCTCGAGGAGCAGGTGGCAGTCATGGTCAGGAGGGCCTTTGCTCAACTTCGTGTTGTGTGCCAGTTACGCTCTTTTTTGGATCGGGAGGCCCTCCGGTCAGTCACTCATGCCTAGTCGTCTCCCATATAGATTACTACAATGTGCTGTACATGGGGCTACCCTTGAAGAGTATCTGGAAGCTACAGCTGGTGCAAAATGCAGCCGCGTGGGCAATTTTGGGTGCCCCAAGGATGGCACATGTAACACTTTTGCTGTGGGAGGTGCACTGGGTGCCAGGTCGCTTCCGGGTCCAATTCAAGCTGTTGGTTACTACCTTTAAAGCCCTACATGGCATGGGACCAGGCTACCCGAGGGACTGTCTCATCCCCATTATGTTGACCCGTCCCACCCAGTCAGGCAGAGAAGGTATGTTGTGGACCCGTCTATGAAGGAATGTCGCTGAGTGGGTCCCAGGAGGAGAGCCTTCTCTGCCGTTGCCCCCGCCCTATGGAACATTCTTCCCCCAGAGGTGGGGTGGGCCCCCACTCTCCTGGCCTCCCGGAAAGGGGTGAAGACCTGGCTCTGCCAACTCATGTGGGGCGAGAAGGGATCGAACCAACCCTGGGGGTGGCTGGCGCCTCGAAGACGCTCCCCTCGAAGACGCTCCCCGAGTCTAATAACATCAGCTTCTCGGAAGATATTTATTATTCATACAGGAACCTTTCGTAATGTATTTTTAATTCCTATTTATTCTATTTTAATTCCTATTTATTCTTTTTTTACTGTAAGCCACCCAGATTAGCTCTATGGTGAGATGGGCAGTGAGATGGACAAATTAGCTCTATGGTGGGATGGGTGAGATGGACAAATTTGAAATATAAATAAATAAATAAATAAATGAAACACACCTCAAAAATGACACTGCAATCATGCGGTTGCTGATGCAATCTTGACTTTTTTTGGCTACCTCCCCCCCCTTTGGTTTATCTTCAAAACCGAAAGCGAAACCGATTAAGAACCGGGCTACCTCTGTTTCCAAGAGTCCACTGTAAGCTGGGTTGGCGGTACTTCTTCTTTTCCTCTCCTGACGTTTGCTCTGGATTTCTGTAATCAATTTCAGAAGGGTTATTTTTCTATACATAAAATAAAATATTTAGATGAAGCTCATTTGATCAGGTGACTCTTGCGATTTAGCTGACCCTCCGATTGGAGCTTACGTCCTATGACTCCTCTCCGGTTGATTGAATCAGCCCTGATTATTTTTAGCTTTCCGTTTCTGGAGTTCTTTTTGGGGGACTGATCCAGCAACGCAACATTTATTTTCCTAGAAACACAGGAGCTTAAAAACCCACAATCATTAGGTCATGCTAATTTGCTACTGCAAGCTTTGCGGTATAATTTTTGCTCACAACCCGGGCCAAATTGGACAATGCCACGCCGTGGCTGTGTTCTGGTTGATACCAAAGAAACCACTGCTTGCCGAAAGAAGGGAGAAAAGGCTATGAATGTAAAGCTAAAACTCAAACCATTCAGCTCATTTCTAACGTTATTTAGAAAATTGGGGGGGGGGGGGATCCAGATAGCCATCTCTGATTTCTAACCCTAAAGAACGAATTAAGTATGCAAGGCAGAGTTCTTATCTTCGACATGTCGTAATGTTTGCAGAGTCTACTTCTAAAGATACAAGAAGAAATCTGATTTCTTTATAAAGTCTTGGCTATTTGTTGTAATGACTTGCGTAATCAGTTTACTCATCTTACTAATAACTCAACAGGGTTCTCGCTTAAGAGCTGCTAAAAGGAGCTGAGCTGCATTTTTCAAGTTCCTCTCCCTCGAGACCTAACTCCAATAATATTAAACACTTCACTCTTACCAGAATTTAAAAAGCTTTGAGGACTTAATATTATTGGTATTAGAGTACGGATGACACTGGATCAATCCGCTTTCATTACAGTCTTGGTCTTGAAGCATTTCACTTTTTGGTTTTTTTTATTTAAGAGCAAAGACGAGAACTGATGAAATGCAAACTAACATCCTATTATAGTATATGATGCATTAGAAAAGCTAAATAAATAACTTAAAATCATTACTCAACAACGGGGCGAGGTCTTCTGCTGCCAGACTGCACACAGGTTTCCCCTTCATGCTGATCATTCCCCCAAAGGTTTTAGTTGTACAGTTGATTTACAATTTACAGCTTATTTACAATTTCTTATATTGGAATGTGTTGCTTCTAAAAACAGAACACGATTGTCTAGCAAGATAAGCATTCTTACCTTCCAAGTATTCAGTCGTAACCAGGCCTAGCGCTACCATAAAGGCAATTTTCTAGAGAAGAAGAAGAATATGAATGAAAATGTTATTTCTGCATAATATTTCTGTATAATTTCTGATTATTCCCATTAAAACCTCCAGCTATTCCATTTCAGCTTCACCATACTAAAGCAGGAACTGAAGGCTTTATTTTAACCCTCCAAAGAGACACCACAAGTATATATAATCTCTGGATCCTTTGGGAGTCTAGATGAAACAAAACCAAATTATTCGGAGAAATGTAGATGCTTGGGTTTTTTAAAATCATTATTTAACAAAGCTTTGATTTATGTACCTCTCTGACCTGCTGTATTGGGTTATGAGCGCTAGTTCCTGCTATAATGCACGTAGACACATCATCTTTTTCCTGCTATAACGCACACAGGCACATCGTAATTTTTTTGTTTCGTTTTGATATTATGAAAAGTAAATGTAAAAAAAAAATAATCTATGGCCAATGCACCAACTTATTCCCAAAAGTACTTCTGGGCCCCACAACCATTCTTAGAAAGTAAAAATGGCAAAGATTCACAGCCTAACATAGTGATGGGAAGGAAAAAGGAAATATATCAGCAATTTTAAGCCGCATGAATAGAATCATAAGGTATATAACTCTATCAAAGAAGGGGATAAGGTTAGTCTGGGAGAGACCCGTCCAGGCTCCTGCAGATCGTGCCTTGCCTCTCCAAAGGCTTCCGGAGCGGCTGCTGGATCACCGGTTCAGGGCCCTCGCCTACCGCGAATCTGGATGTCCCAGGTCCTCCTCCTTCCCCCTTTTGAAGATGGGGAAGACACTGGCTCTCCTCCGATCTTCTGGGGCCTCACCGGTCCCCCAGGAGTTTCAAGGATTTCCAAGAGTGGTTCTTCAGCCATCTCTGCTGGTCCTTCAGGACCCTGGGAGATCATCCACCTGGCCCCGGAGACGTGAATTCGTCTGAATTAGCCAAGTTCTCACGTATCTCCTCCTTCTCTGTATCCTAAGCTACAGTTTCCTCCTTTCCTCAGCAGCGTATTTTCCTTCTAAGAAGTTCTGTCTTCTCACCATCACCATCTCTCCTCACGACAGGCCCATATCCTCTTTGGCCTTCCCTTTATTCCTAATTTGCCAAAAGAAGTTTTGTCGCTTTTGGTATCTTGTTCAATCTTCAGTTTACCTTGAAGATGATTATAAATACTAGATGACAATAGTTATGATTATTACTGTTATTATTACTTGATCCAAGACCAAACCAATCCAATTACTGTAAAACACATACAACCATTAAAATGCGTGCATAAAAATGACATAAAACCAAGAAAATCAAAGCTGTGAGGAAGGCACCAGTCAGTTTCTATTGGCTAAAGCCAGAGATAGAAATTTCACCACTGCTCTTGATACGTATAAAAATTGGTTGCTTAAAAGAGAATCAGTGATCTCCTCATCGTGGGGGAGATTAAAATTTCTAATAACTGAAATTGAGAGTTGAAATTGCCATTGTGTATAAAGTGGATACTAACAGAACGTGAGATACGGATTCAGCTTCTGTGCTTGGACATTCACAATTTTCATATGGGAGATTGTAACGTCTTCCAGTTGTCGCCCTGGTGGGCAGCGCATCGACTCGGGCCAGAGGAAAAAACCTTCTATGCGGAACACGCATGATCTTGGGAAAATAGGAAGTATCCAAGGACAGGTGATTCTACTGTCTTAAGGTGGGAAATGTTAGGCCCGTCCACCTGAATATCTAGGTCCTAGACCCTCTGTTTAAATTCTGCTACGGTTTTATTGGGGCCTCGGATAAGTAGGACTGGTTTTGACAAAACACAAATCTTGGTCAATTTGAACTTGATCATAAAATACATCAACCTTCTCTTCTGCATCGGTGTTGATTAATATGATATGAAGGGTTGCCCATGAACTATAATTGACATTATTTGATCACTGATTGGTTTGTAGCTAAGGACTGTTCTTTCTACCTTTCTGCCTTGTAACGCAACCTGTTTCTTCTTTGTTTTTCATGTCCTGAGTAATAAACAGTGTGATCTTCTGACTTAATGTGTCCAATCCAGGTCCATCTCAATTTGCTGATACCTAAGGTGTCAACTGGTAATTGATTCATTTCATCTTTCACTGTGTTGAGCTTTCTTGTGTTCATGCTGCTTATGTTCCATGTTCCCACTGTAATTCTGTCTTTGCTGCTTCAGATTTTCTTTTCCTGTATGGCAACATCGGCAACTAGACATCCCAAAGGCTTTAATCTAGAAAGGAATTCCAAGAGAGGAGAAGAATATCCTCATTTCGTAGGATGTCCCATCCTTCGTGGATACTTTTCTCCTCCAGGATTTCAAGCCGTTGGATCTGGCCTACCTTCCCCAGAGTTCATCGAAATTTGCTTTTCTGAAGGCCAGGATGCAGGTCTGACTCTTCTCACTCCCTGCTTCCCTGGATGGCCCAGATCCCTGGATAACACAGTCCCTCTCCCCCAGGTGCCACTCGCCTTCGCTTCTTCAATCAATTCCTCCCTGTTGGTGAGGATTAAGTTCATCTAATTAGAAGGCCTCCTTGCTCTTTCTTCCACCTTCCGACAGATGAAGTAGTCACCAAGAGAGGACAAGAATTCACTGGACCTCTTGACTCTTTTGCAGGGCTGAATTCCCAGAAACCTCCAATTATCACCATCACA